CATACATGTGTGGGTAAACAGCAGCACAGAGTGGGCGCATACATGTGTGGGTAAACAGCAGCACAGAGTGGGCGCATACATGTGTGGGTAAACAGCAGCACAGAGTGGGCGCATACATGTGTGGGTAAACAGCAGCGCAGAGTGGGCGCATACATGTGTGGGTAAACAGCAGCGCAGAGTGGGCGCATACATGTGTGGGTAAACAGCAGCACAGAGTGGGCGCATACATGTGTGGGTAAACAGCAGCACAGAGTGGGCGCATACATGTGTGGGTAAACAGCAGCACAGAGTGGGCGCATACATGTGTGGGTAAACAGCAGCACAGAGTGGGCGCATACATGTGTGGGTAAACAGCAGCACAGAGTGGGCGCATACATGTGTGGGTAAACAGCAGCACAGAGTGGGCGCATACATGTGTGGGTAAACAGCAGCACAGAGTGGGCGCATACATGTGTGGGTAAACAGCAGCACAGAGTGGGCGCATACATGTGTGGGTGTACAGCAGCACAGAGTGGGCGCATACATGTGTGGGTAAACAGCAGCACAGAGTGGGCGCATACATGTGTGGGTAAACAGCAGCGCAGAGTGGGCGCATACATGTGTGGGTAAACAGCAGCACAGAGTGGGCGCATACATGTGTGGGTAAACAGCAGCACAGAGTGGGCGCATACATGTGTGGGTAAACAGCAGCACAGAGTGGGCGCATACATGTGTGGGTAAACAGCAGCACAGAGTGGGCGCATACATGTGTGGGTAAACAGCAGCACAGAGTGGGCGCATACATGTGTGGGTAAACAGCAGCACAGAGTGGGCGCATACATGTGTGGGTAAACAGCAGCACAGAGTGGGCACATACATGTGTGGGTAAACAGCAGCACAGAGTGGGCGCATACATGTGTGGGTAAACAGCAGCACAGAGTGGGCGCATACATGTGTGGGTAAACAGCAGCACAGAGTGGGCGCATACATGTGTGGGTAAACAGCAGCACAGAGTGGGCGCATACATGTGTGGGTAAACAGCAGCACAGAGTGGGCGCATACATGTGTGGGTAAACAGCAGCACAGAGTGGGCGCATACATGTGTGGGTAAACAGCAGCACAGAGTGGGCGCATACATGTGTGGGTAAACAGCAGCACAGAGTGGGCGCATACATGTGTGGGTAAACAGCAGCACAGAGTGGGCGCATACATGTGTGGGTAAACAGCAGCACAGAGTGGGCGCATACATGTGTGGGTAAACAGCAGCACAGAGTGGGCGCATACATGTGTGGGTAAACAGCAGCACAGAGTGGGCGCATACATGTGTGGGTAAACAGCAGCACAGAGTGGGCGCATACATGTGTGGGTAAACAGCAGCACAGAGTGGGCGCATACATGTGTGGGTAAACAGCAGCACAGAGTGGGCGCATACATGTGTGGGTAAACAGCAGCACAGAGTGGGCGCATACATGTGTGGGTGTACAGCAGCACAGAGTGGGCGCATACATGTGTGGGTAAACAGCAGCACAGAGTGGGCGCATACATGTGTGGGTAAACAGCAGCGCAGAGTGGGCGCATACATGTGTGGGTAAACAGCAGCACAGAGTGGGCGCATACATGTGTGGGTAAACAGCAGCACAGAGTGGGCGCATACATGTGTGGGTAAACAGCAGCACAGAGTGGGCGCATACATGTGTGGGTAAACAGCAGCACAGAGTGGGCGCATACATGTGTGGGTAAACAGCAGCACAGAGTGGGCGCATACATGTGTGGGTAAACAGCAGCACAGAGTGGGCGCATACATGTGTGGGTAAACAGCAGCACAGAGTGGGCGCATACATGTGTGGGTAAACAGCAGCACAGAGTGGGCACATACATGTGTGGGTAAACAGCAGCACAGAGTGGGCGCATACATGTGTGGGTAAACAGCAGCACAGAGTGGGCGCATACATGTGTGGGTAAACAGCAGCACAGAGTGGGCGCATACATGTGTGGGTAAACAGCAGCACAGAGTGGGCGCATACATGTGTGGGTAAACAGCAGCACAGAGTGGGCGCATACATGTGTGGGTAAACAGCAGCACAGAGTGGGCGCATACATGTGTGGGTAAACAGCAGCACAGAGTGGGCGCATACATGTGTGGGTAAACAGCAGCACAGAGTGGGCGCATACATGTGTGGGTAAACAGCAGCACAGAGTGGGCGCATACATGTGTGGGTAAACAGCAGCACAGAGTGGGCGCATACATGTGTGGGTAAACAGCAGCACAGAGTGGGCGCATACATGTGTGGGTAAACAGCAGCACAGAGTGGGCGCATACATGTGTGGGTAAACAGCAGCACAGAGTGGGCGCATACATGTGTGGGTAAACAGCAGCACAGAGTGGGCGCATACATGTGTGGGTAAACAGCAGCACAGAGTGGGCGCATACATGTGTGGGTAAACAGCAGCACAGAGTGGGCGCATACATGTGTGGGTAAACAGCAGCACAGAGTGGGCGCATACATGTGTGGGTAAACAGCAGCACAGAGTGGGCGCATACATGTGTGGGTAAACAGCAGCGCAGAGTGGGCGCATACATGTGTGGGTAAACAGCAGCACAGAGTGGGCGCATACATGTGTGGGTAAACAGCAGCACAGAGTGGGCGCATACATGTGTGGGTAAACAGCAGCACAGAGTGGGCGCATACATGTGTGGGTAAACAGCAGCACAGAGTGGGCGCATACATGTGTGGGTAAACAGCAGCACAGAGTGGGCGCATACATGTGTGGGTAAACAGCAGCACAGAGTGGGCGCATACATGTGTGGGTAAACAGCAGCACAGAGTGGGCGCATACATGTGTGGGTAAACAGCAGCACAGAGTGGGCGCATACATGTGTGGGTAAACAGCAGCACAGAGTGGGCGCATACATGTGTGGGTAAACAGCAGCACAGAGTGGGCGCATACATGTGTGGGTAAACAGCAGCACAGAGTGGGCGCATACATGTGTGGGTAAACAGCAGCACAGAGTGGGCGCATACATGTGTGGGTAAACAGCAGCACAGAGTGGGCGCATACATGTGTGGGTAAACAGCAGCACAGAGTGGGCGCATACATGTGTGGGTAAACAGCAGCACAGAGTGGGCGCATACATGTGTGGGTAAACAGCAGCACAGAGTGGGCGCATACATGTGTGGGTAAACAGCAGCACAGAGTGGGCGCATACATGTGTGGGTAAACAGCAGCACAGAGTGGGCGCATACATGTGTGGGTAAACAGCAGCACAGAGTGGGCGCATACATGTGTGGGTAAACAGCAGCACAGAGTGGGCGCATACATGTGTGGGTAAACAGCAGCACAGAGTGGGCGCATACATGTGTGGGTAAACAGCAGCACAGAGTGGGCGCATACATGTGTGGGTAAACAGCAGCACAGAGTGGGCGCATACATGTGTGGGTAAACAGCAGCACAGAGTGGGCGCATACATGTGTGGGTAAACAGCAGCACAGAGTGGGCGCATACATGTGTGGGTAAACAGCAGCACAGAGTGGGCGCATACATGTGTGGGTAAACAGCAGCGCAGAGTGGGCGCATACATGTGTGGGTAAACAGCAGCACAGAGTGGGCGCATACATGTGTGGGTAAACAGCAGCACAGAGTGGGCGCATACATGTGTGGGTAAACAGCAGCACAGAGTGGGCGCATACATGTGTGGGTAAACAGCAGCACAGAGTGGGCGCATACATGTGTGGGTAAACAGCAGCACAGAGTGGGCGCATACATGTGTGGGTAAACAGCAGCACAGAGTGGGCGCATACATGTGTGGGTAAACAGCAGCACAGAGTGGGCGCATACATGTGTGGGTAAACAGCAGCACAGAGTGGGCGCATACATGTGTGGGTAAACAGCAGCACAGAGTGGGCGCATACATGTGTGGGTAAACAGCAGCACAGAGTGGGCGCATACATGTGTGGGTAAACAGCAGCACAGAGTGGGCGCATACATGTGTGGGTAAACAGCAGCACAGAGTGGGCGCATACATGTGTGGGTAAACAGCAGCACAGAGTGGGCGCATACATGTGTGGGTAAACAGCAGCACAGAGTGGGCGCATACATGTGTGGGTAAACAGCAGCACAGAGTGGGCGCATACATGTGTGGGTAAACAGCAGCACAGAGTGGGCGCATACATGTGTGGGTAAACAGCAGCACAGAGTGGGCGCATACATGTGTGGGTAAACAGCAGCACAGAGTGGGCGCATACATGTGTGGGTAAACAGCAGCACAGAGTGGGCGCATACATGTGTGGGTAAACAGCAGCACAGAGTGGGCGCATACATGTGTGGGTAAACAGCAGCACAGAGTGGGCGCATACATGTGTGGGTAAACAGCAGCACAGAGTGGGCGCATACATGTGTGGGTAAACAGCAGCACAGAGTGGGCGCATACATGTGTGGGTAAACAGCAGCACAGAGTGGGCGCATACATGTGTGGGTAAACAGCAGCACAGAGTGGGCGCATACATGTGTGGGTAAACAGCAGCACAGAGTGGGCGCATACATGTGTGGGTAAACAGCAGCACATAGTGGGCGCATACATGTGTGGGTTCGTGCCACATGCCATACTGCTCGCTAGCACCCTCTATTCGCTCCCCTCTCCCCTCCTCTCCCCATCTCCTCCCCTCCCCTCCACTCCAACGTCACGTCACACTGCCTAACCCTTGCTACTCCCCTCCCATACAACTCCCTGTCATCCCCTCAACCGCACTGCACCGCACTGCACAGCTGGACGGTGCCAACAGTAATCGCATGGGGCAAGGACGACCCATACATCCCCATCACGGACGCTCAGGCCATTGCCAAGGCCAACGCTTCATCAATCACTCTTCGCGTGCTGGAGGGCGCCGGGCACACGCCGCAGGAGGACTGGTGAGCCGGGTTGGGGGCAGGGTGTAACATGAGTAGAGGGATGGAGGGGTGGAGGGGTGGGGGAGAGGAGGGGCAAGGACGACTCATACATCCCCATCACGGACGCTCAGGCCATTGCCAAGGCCAACGCGGCTGCTGTCACTCTGCGCATGCTGGAGGGCGTCGGGCACACGCCGCAGGAGGACTGGTGAGCCAGGAAGGGGGGATGGGGAGGGGATGGAAGGGAAGACCCATACATCCCCATCACAGAGGCTCAGGCCATCGCCAAGGCCAACTCTTCATCAATCTCTCTCCGGCTCCTGGAGGGCGCAGGGTGGGCGCCGGGAGGGCGCCGGGTGGGCGCCGGGAGGGCGCCGAGCACACACCGCAGGAGGAGTGGTGAGGTGGAGGGGTTGCAGAGCACAACAGGGGTGGAGGGGTGGAGGGGTAGAGGGAAGGCGTGGTATAAGAAAGGCAGCAGGGCAGGTGGAAGAGAGGCAGGAAGATGAGGTGTCGAACCATCCCCGCACTTGAGCCCCTTTGGACGATGTGTTAAGGGGAAGCTCAAAGAGAGCTGGAAGGGCGCATACTGGTGGAAGGAAGAGAGAGGGATGGGGTTGGTGGGGGCAAGGACACCCCCTGCACGCCCATCAGCCCCAACAGAGTGTACCTACCTAGCGCCTACAGCTCAGGCTGAAATGCACCTTGTCAGGTCCAGCATGGGTGCAATCGCTGTGGAGGTGCTACACGCAGCTTGCCTTGTGCCCCTTTAAAAACTGTGGTGAGTTGGTGGTTCGGTGTGGCATAGAGAATGCTGCTTGAAAACTCTCAGGTAGGTGGTGTTGTGAAGGTTCTGCAAGGAGCTGCTGCAAGGACCAGCGGAAATATACGGTATAAGTGTTAACAGGGTGTGTGTACAATGTGTGCGTGTGAATCACATTACGGTACAGGGACATATGGCTTATGTTCTCCTATTATACTACCGGTACCGTATGTTCCAACTTCCAACTTCCAAGTTCCAATTCCAACCCTTTGATTCTGACGCCATGCAGGTCGGAGAAAGTGGTCGATAGCCTTCGAGTCTCCTTCAACTGAGCAGCTCATGGAGGATATATATAGAATGTTATTTTGTTAGAATCTAGAGACAAGGATGATGCATTGATCAAGAGTTGGGTACATAAGCTAACCCTAACATTGGGTTGTACCCCATATGGGCTACCCCACTAGCAGCCTACACAAACACAATATGCATAGTTTGACACACCCCCATAGGCAAAGTGGGGGAGAACAAGGGGTCACAAGTCCAGTCAAGAGAAACAAAACAAGCTCAGGGTGGATCACAACGTCACCACACACACTGAGCACAAGCAAAGGGCCACAAGGCCTGTCCACATGCAGAGGTATATATGCAACAAACAAAGTACAGTGATCACTACCTAGCAAGAACAAGCATGCAGGTATATATATATATATAAAGATCACAGTACAGGCAGAGTCTACAGCAAGTGTGGAAACGTAGGCACAAGGCCCAACAAGGTACAAAAGCGCTGATGATCACCAGACGGAAGTGCCTTGGTGAATATATCAGCAGTGTTGGCCCGAGTGGCCACGTGTGCAAGACGAAGCTGACCACGCTGCTGCAACTCTCGAGCGAGGAAGTAACGCAGAGCGATGTGCTTCGTTCTGTGCTCCAGTCTGTGCTCCTCACACAAGGCAATGGCTGCCTTGTTGTCAACGTACAGAACTGGAGGAAAACGAGGCCGCTCTCCCAAGTCGGTCAGCAGGTACGTGAGCCAGCGCAGCTCCTGAGCAGCCATGGCGGTGGCGTAGATCTCAGCCTCACAACTGGAGCTGAGAACAGAAGACGAGCGAGTAGAACGCCACGAAACAGAGCCAGAGCCGAGGCTGAAAGTGTAACCCTGTGACGACCGCTGTGTAGCCTGGTCGTCAACCCAAGACGCGTCTGAGTGCCCAGTGAGGACCACCTCTCGCCGTCCTCCAAGCACGAGCCCCATGCCCGATGTACTGCACAAGTAGCGCAGTACCCTCTTCGCAGCATCCCAGTGCACCTTTCGGTGCCGACCAGGAGCCACGTAGCGGGCCAAAAGGCCAAGAGGGTACGCAAGGTCAGGACGAGTGCAAGTCATCAGGTACATGAGGCAGCCTACTAGCTCTGGGTAAGGACCACTCGGCTCTACGGACTCGTCCGAAGGTGGAGCTGAGAGCGAGTGACCTGTAGCCAGAGGAGTGGACTGTGCCGAGGACCAGGTGAAGCCGAAGCGCTGAAGTACCTGCTGCACCATGTGTGACTGAGTCAGAGTGATGGTGCGACGTGCTCTGTCCTGGGTGATCTGCAAGCCAAGGTAGCTGCGCAGCTCACCCAGATCTGTGCACGTGTGTCTCTTCTGCAGCTCCGACTTCACCAGGGCGAGAGCCTCAGTGTCAGCAGTGGCAAAGACCAAGTCGTCGACGTACACGAGGATGTAGAACGGCGGCAGCGAAGTGTCGGTGCGCAGAAACAGTGACGGGTCAGCTGTGGAGGGCGCAAACCCGAGAGCCGCAAGCGTAGTCCTCATTGTGTCGTGCCACTCACGAGGCGCCTGACGGAGACCGTAGACTGGCCGGCGGAGGCTCCACTGGGTACCAGGAGGGAACGACCCAGTGAAGCTAGGTGGGCGGCGCAGTCAGATCTCCTCGTGCAGGCTGCCCTGCAAGAAAGCTGTGCTGAAGTCAAGCGAGTGAAGCTCGTAGTCACGCTGGGCGGCAACGTGCAGCAGTACCCGAAGAGTGGTCATCTTCGGGGTGGGGGAGAAGGTCTGGAAGAAGTCAACCCCTTCTCGGTGACTGAAGCCTCGAGCCAAATGCCACTGACGATGTTCGCCCCAGGAGGGGGAACCTCGTCGACGTAGGTGCCTGTGGACTTCCAGGATGCCATCTCTGCGTCCATGGCTGCCTGCCACTGAGAGGAGTAGGGACCCGCGACCGCCTCAGCGTACGAGCGCGGGGTGGGGATGTCTAGTGCATCCGGGTCTCCCTCAGGGGCAAGCAGCATGGTCACGAGATGAGGCGCAGCGGCTGCAAGACACTCAAGGTCCTCGTGCCTGTCCTCAAGGACGTCCGTGCTAAGAGCACACTCACCCCCGACGGACGGAGGACAGACATACTCAGACTCAGCAACAAGACTAGTAGCGTAGTCTAGACGACAGGCAGCCGCAAAGTCAACAAGCTCAGCAACCAAAGCAGACGCAGCAGCAGACTCAAACGAGGGGTCAGTGACAACAGTGGCGAGCAGACGCGTGACAGTAGGGTGCTCAGCACGAAACCGGTCAGACTCAGGGTCCGGAACGTGAGGCAAGGAAGACGCAGGAGGAGACGGCAGAGAAACAGACTGCGGAACAGAGGAAGGACGACGGACGACAAGGTGTGCGGTGGGGACAGGCGGCGAACGCGGACACGGAACACGACGACCGGTACGACTAGGACGAACAGGCAAGACAGGACGCGACGCAGGCTCACGACGCTCAGCAAGACTACCCGTCTGCTCAGTGTAAGGAGAAGGAGCAGGCAGCGGTGAGCCAGGCCCTAACGGAAGACCAGTAGACGACGGGAGAGTAAGAACCTGACGAAGAGCAGAGTCAGGCGGCGGCAGAGACGACAGAGACGGCGGAGCGAAGAACAGTCGCGCGTGGTTGCGCAGCTGCACCAGAACCGGCAGCTCCAGCAGCTCCAGTACCCCCAGCAGCTCCAGCACCTCCAGCAGCAGAACCGACACCTCCAGGCCCAGGGTCTCCAACCCCAGTGCCTCCAGCAGCAGCACCCCCAGAACCAGTACCTCCAGTCCCAGGGTCTCCAGCCTCCACGTCTCCAGCAGCAGCACCCCCAGAACCAGCACCTCCAGTCCCAGGATCTCCAGCCCCCACGTCTCTAGCAGTAGCACCCCCAGAACCAGCACCTCCAGTCCCAGGGTCTCCAGCCTCGGTGTCTCCAGCAGCAGCACCTCCAGACGCAGCACCCCCAGCCCCAGCAGCTCCAGTACCTCCAGTACGAGCACCTCCGGGACCAGCGACTCCAGCACCTCCAGTAGAAACAGTACCAGCACCACTCCCAGCTCCAGGGACGGCAGCAGAAGTACCTCCAGCAGTAGAGCCCCGGGCTCCAGCAGCGCGACCCTGACGGCGACCGTACCAGTCGTGCAGCTGCTGCGAGGTGAGAGGCACACGTGGACGAAGGCGGCTACTCCAAGGAGACCGCACAACAGCAGACTCAGAACCCTCAGCGCCAGCACCCTCAGCAGCTCCAGCGCCACCAGCACCAGGACCTCCAGCAGCTCCAGAACCTCCAGCGCTAGCACCCTCAGCAGCCCCAGAACCACCAGCTCCAGCACCTCCAGACCCCTCACACGCAGGCTCAGCACCTCCAGGCTCGACACCCTCAAGCTCCGCACCCCCAGGCTCCTCACCCCCAGGCTCAGCACCCCCAGACTCAGCACCCCCAGAAGTAGCACCCCGAGCAGGACCACCCCCAGCAGGACCTGAGTCACCAGTGACCTCAACCAGCGCAGGGAAGGGAGGAGGGTCTACCTGAGACACACCTGAGGGAGCAGGACCTGGAGCGGGGAGAGGGTCGACCTGGGGAGCACCTGGAGCGAGGAAGAGCGGCGGGGGAGGGAGAGGGGCAGTGCGGTAGGGGAAGAGACGGTAAAAGGGAACCGACTCATCGAACGTGACGTCCTGAGACGCAAAGACACGGCGCGAGGTGGGGTGGTAAAACTGCCAACCAGGCGCGTCAGGGACAAAGCCAAGGAAGACACAGGGAACTGCACGGGCGGAGAGCTTGTCCGCGGTGGTATCGCGGACAAAGGCACGAGCACCCCAGACCCGGAAACGCGACGCATCGCCAACCTTCCCCGTCCACAGCAGTGTGGGCGAGGTCTCCGGCAAGGAGACACGGGGCCAGAGGTTGAGCTGATGCGTGGCGTACCGGACCGCAAACAGCCACAGAAAATGGGGGGCAGCCGCATGGATCATGGAGGTACGAGCGACCTCCATGACTAAGCCAATGCGGCGCTCAGCAACCCCATTCTGCTGCGGAGAGTCCGGAAGCGTGAACGACTGGGTGATGCCGTGCTCCGCACAGAAGGCCGCCAAGAGGTCGGAGGAGAACTCACCACCTCTGTCAGAGTGCAGACGCAGGACGGGAAACTCCGTCCCGAACCGCTCGCGGAGCTGGAGACGGGCAGCGCGGATCCAAGGGATCAAAACAGCAGGGGAAAGACCGTGGTGTAACGCGTGTAGTCGTCAACAACCAGCAGGAAGTACCGCTCGTGGCCCTGTCCACGGACGCGGGCTGGGCCCCACACGTCCAGGTGGAGAGTCTGCAGGGGAGCCTCTGTGGGAGGGAACGAGGAGGAGTGAGGAGCGGCGCGCTGCCGCCCCTCGACGCAAGGAATGCAGGGCGGCACAGGCGAGGGAGGGAGGGCAGGCAAAGACCTGGGCAGACCAGAAACCAGGAAGCGAGAGTGCATGCCACGAAGGCGCTGCACCGAGGGGTGACCAAGGCGGTGGTGCCACAGGAGGGTCTGGTGCGACAAAGCGCGACACTCGCAGGGGGCCGTCGGCTGACCGGACGCAGACGCAGACGCAGACGCAGCTACCTGAGCGGACGCAGTGGTCAGGGTGTACAGACTCGAGCCAGGCGCACGGGAAAACGTGGCCAGGTGTCGGCCGGTCCGAGCACACGTGCAGTGAGTCACCCGCTGACTCGCAGGAGTGAACTGGTGCACCCCCTGATCCTGGAGGTCAGCTCCACTCACCAAGTTCGTAGAGAACGAGGGGAGGTAAAGACCTGACAGCAAGCCAGACGGGGGGCGGACACGGCAGAACCGGGAGTAGTGGGCAGACTGGACCCCCAGAGGGGTCCGCCAGGGAGACTGCAACCGGCCGACTAAGCGGCGTGAGTGTGGTGCAAAAGAAGGAGCGGGAAGCACCTGAGTCAAGCGTGAAGGTGTACAAGGCCGCAGCAGGCGCAGAACTAGAGAGAGCAGACTCACCAGCACCTGGAGCAGGAGACGTACCGGCACCTAGAGCAGCAGCCTCACCAGCACCCAGAGGAGGAGACGCACGAGCACCTAGGGCAGCAGCCTCACCAGTACCGGGAGCAGCAGGTGCAGCAGGTATACCAGGGTCAGGCGGGACGCACAGGTAACAGGCACGGTCAACACTAGTAGGCAATGCATACATGGCAGTGAGAATAGCATCATAGTCAGGAGCAAAGATATCTACCCTCTGTCCAAGCAGCTCCAGCCAGTCGGGGAGCTCAGCCTCGTCGCCAAACACTGTACGCCAGTCGTCGCTCAGACGGGCGAAGCAGCGGGACTGTGTGTGACCAAGCGTCCCGCAAGGCTGACCAGTCCTATCACCGGTGCGAATGACGTACTGGCAGCGAACTGTACGCGTAGACCTGCTACACTGAGCGTACCACTCGTGGAGCTGCCGGGACGTAAGTGTCTCGCGTGGGCGCCGCTGCAGCTGCAGCTGGCCACTGCTAGAGGCCCCCAACTGACCAGCTCCAGGGCGACAGCTACGACGGCTACCACGACAGCCCCAACTAGTATACCACTCACTAAGCTGCTGGGGCGTGAGAGACTCGCGTGAGCGTTGCTGGAGCTGCATCTGGTCCCTTGCTAAGAGCTAGCAGCAGCAGCAGCTCGGGCAGGGCAGGCGCGGCAGGCCGGCAGACAGACAGGCAGGCCGGCAGGCAGGCAGGCAGGCAGGCAGGTAGGCAGGCAGGCTGACAGGCAGACAGGCCGGCAGGCAGGCAGGCAGACTGACAGGTAGGCAGGCAGGCCAGCAGGTAGGCAGGCAAGCCGACAGGCAGACAGGCCGGCAGGCAGGCAGGCAGGCAGGCTGGCAGGCAGGCAGGCAGGCAGGCAGGCAGGACAGCAGGCAGCCAGGCAGGCCGACAAACAGGCAGGCCAGCAGACAGACAGGCAGGCAGGCAGGCAGGCAGGCAGGCAGCCAGGCAGGCAGGCAGGCAGGTGCTCACCAAAGGCTGGAAGAGTAAGTGCTCGCCGGGCGAGCAGGGCCGAGTAGGCGCACGACTGCAGCGACGGTGGAGCCGTAACAGCGACTGCAGAGTAGGGCCGCAGCAACTGCAGGGTGGGGCCGCTTCAGCGGCAGTCGCAGAGTGGGGGCCGCATCAGCGGCAAGTCGGGGCCCCGGGAGCTGCAGCGCGGGGCCGCAGCAGTGGAAGGTCGGGGCCGATGCAGCTGCAGGCTATGCAGTGCAGCGCGCGCGGCTGCTGTGGGCTGTGCGCGGGCTGCGGGAGGCAGAAGCAGGCCGCGCGCAGCGCAGCAGGCCGCGCGCAGCGGGGCTGCGCGCGGAGGCTCGGCGGCTGGCGCGCTCGCAGCTGAAAAAGGGCCGCGCGCGGCTCGACAGGGCTGCGCGCAGCCAAAAACGGGCCGCGCGCGGCTCGAATAGGCTGCGCGCAGTAGGAAACGGGCTGCGCGCGGCTCGACGGGGCTGCGCGCGGCTCGGCGGGGACACGCGCGGCTCGGCGGGGGCTGCGCGCGCCAGATCCGGGCTGCGCGCGGCTCTATGGGGCTGCGCGCGGCTCTATGGGGCTGCGCGCGGCTCGGCAGGGCTGCACGCGGCTCGACGGGGGCGGTGCGCCACGATGACGGTGTGTGAGAGGCAGCAGAGCGGCGCGAGCAGCGAGGGACAGTAGCAGGCAGCGTGCTTGACGTAGGTCTGCGCGGTAGCAGCAGCAGACGGCACAGTAGGCAGCAGGCAGTAGGCTACAGGCAGACGGCGCGCGCAGCGCAGCACGTCACAGGCACAGGCACAGGCGTGGGGTAGCGGTAGGTGGGCCCGGAAAAAAAAAACGGTCCTACGGACCTACTGCTCTGATACCATGTTAGAATCTAGAGACAAGGATGATGCATTGATCAAGAGTTGGGTACATAAGCTAACCCTAACATTGGGTTGTACCCCATATGGGCTACCCCACTACAGCCTACACAAACACAATATGCATAGTTTGACATATTTTCATGTGGCTTTTTGAAATGGCTCTGTAACAGATGCATAGAGGATACCATACCAAATGGGGCAGAAAGCAAGCATGCTAGCATTACATTGCCATATTATCAAATGCCCCATGGTGCACTGACAAACCCCTAACCAGGCCCGACATATGTCCAATCCAGAACATCACAGCGTGAAAGTGTCCTTAGGTCAACTTGCAAAGGCAGCGCGCATCATATCAAATGGGTGTAGTACTCGTTCTCGTCCTAGATATCGGTACATACAACAACATAACAAAACAACATCGGTCAACTTGCTAAGGCAAACAACATCATATCAAATGGGTGTAGTACTCGTTCTCATCCTAGATATCGGTACATCACAACAACTCCCTTACACAATACAAAATTTGGGATTTAAAAAATTATATTACTTTTACTATCGGTGAAGAGGACTATGTCAACATCTTTGTTTGCAGACAAAGATTCTAGTATTTATGCCGCATATTTTCCACTTAGTGCCAAAGACGTTACACAGAGCGCTGTCACTGAAAGGTCAGGTTAAAGCCGGCAGTCCAAATTGCACAACCTTAAAAGGTTGACGCGATGGGGTTTTGTGGTCTTGGTATTCGTTTATTTCGATTTTTTCGTCAAACCTAGCCCCCCCTCGTATTTCGCCCTGGGGGGTTGGTTGAGTTCCGAAAGTCCCAAATTGCAAGCTCGTTTTTTTTCAAAGCTTGCAAACACAAGTTCTTCAAGTTTTAAAAGGTTGACCCGCGCGGCCCGCAATTTAGGCCGCGGGCTTTAAGCAAGAACCAAAAGCAGATGATCAAAACGTGATACACATGCTACTGATAGGTTCTGTCCTTCGTCTCGAAATGCTTAGGGTTGCGTTCCAAGCACTGACCACATATGGGCAAACAGACACGCCGTATAAATTGTGGGCCTCATGATAAAACAATGGGATTTTTTTTGGTTTAATTATGAATGCATCCCGTCTACAACAAGTACCTTGCCTATACACAGTATTGTTTTAGCGAATTATTTAGGCAAGAGCGCTCGTGTTGACGATGAGGAGCGCACCGATGGCGAGAAGGCCGCCGAAGGTGAGGAACCACAGGAGAAGACCAGCCTTGCCTGCATGAATAAAAACATGCAAAGATTTAGGCAACGCAGGTAAATAAACTCCTCGTTGCACGCCTTTGCACGAGACCACTGATACTGGACGGGAAAATACTTACCACCCTCATAGGTGTCACCCTTAGCGGACCACTCCTCTGGGGTGTAGATGGGGCTGTAGCCATCGACGTTAGCACCGTACTTCTTGGCGAAGATGAAAGCACCCTTGCCCTTGGAAGGAGAGCCGGAGGGGTCCACCTTGAACTTGTAGTCACCGCTGGGGCCTGCACGGAAGGCGTAACAGCAAGCACAGAGTTGGGAGTCAGCAAAGACTCAAACCTTTCCTCTAATTGCTCTAATTGACCGCTGCCAGCCTTGTTGAGCTATTTATTGAAAATACTAACCCAGGGGGTCTTGGTTTGGATCTTCTTGCCACCGCTGGCGGTCACCTTCAGGCTCCGGGTCGCGGAGACGGTCTTCCTGGCGGGGAGGGTGGGAAGAGCGACGCCCGCGAAGGTGCTGGAGAGAGCGGCGGTGGCAGCCATGGCTACGGTGTGTGTTTGGGTGAGAACGAAGGGTGAAGCAAGGAGCAGGTGAAGGATGCAGTCACAGGGATGCTCGGAGCTTACCGAATTCTGAGAGAGTGGGACAATATGACCCTCCCAGAATGATTTTCCCAATGTTTTCGTCTATCTGCCCGTATCGAACCACCAATCCACCTCGAAGCTCCCCTATTGGTTCATATGAGGTACTAATGACGCAACGTTGTTCTTGGGCAGGAAAAAAACGGGTTGCCGACATCGCTATCAGGTTGAAAGCGAAGGCTATCTGGATGAGCAATAAGGGATTGCCACGTCACGAGAACTTCGAAATGCCCGAGTCTTTCTGATCCACCCAGCACTCTTTCCTGCCACACCCTCCACGAACCCTGTAACCGGGTCCCTGCCCTGCAGACCTTCAATTTGAGACTTGTTCGTGTTTCCCGAAATACGCGAAATTGACGGCTATCGCATGCACTCGTCACAAGTGAATGCTTCTGAGATTGTAACAAGACTCTCCTAAGTATAGGGAAGTTCTATTTAGAAGGTTGGAGAGTGAAATTAATTATAATTCATTACTGTAGACTAATATTATCGGGGATGTACCGAGGTCCCGCGTCAGTGGGGTTCGGCCTACATTTTCGCACCGAACCACTCCCGAAGCGCCACCGCACCTTTTGCCACCTTTCCGAGCCTCGTTTAGCCCGAGGTCCTCGCTTAGCTCGCTCGTGCCTACTTTACCCTCGTTTTAGACATTTCATAGGACATTCTATAATTCCGTCTTTGAGTGCATTTCATCTCGTTCGTGAAACCCGCACACTCGTTGGATATCTTTACACGCCCTAGGGCTGGGAGAAGCCCACTGATGTTCGCTCTTCGCCATGGCTCAACGCGCCCCCAGATAAGCATCCCGACGGCCTATCCCTTTCCGTACTTGCGTCACCTCACCACCACCGCCGGATACCAGCACCGCCTGTTGCCGTCACGACTGCTCTGCGAACCGCTCTCGCGACTGCACTGGGAAACGCTCCGCAACGGCACTGCGAATTGCTTTCACGACTGCATTGCGAAACGCTCTCACAACTGAGTTCTTGCTAGCCGCGGGCCATGGCCACGGAATCATCCTTTGCCGTGCGAGCACGCACCTCCGTGCCTGCCATCTCTCCGTCCCTCCGTTCGCACGATCTCGCTCATTCCCGCGTCGCCGTAGTCGCGTGACGTGTCGTCGTGACCGGCGTGACGCCTCAGCATGGCACGTGGTCCCTCGTTGCACGCGTATGGTTTCGTCTGACAGCTGTCGCTTTGCCATTGGCCAGTCGGTTCTTGGCTGTACTCCGTTGCCAACGCTTGGCAATCGCCATGAAGAGGAAATTCGTTCTCGATATAAAGTGCTCCGCTACAACCAATCCCCGTTCCTGGAAGGCTTACCGAACAGTTCGCCTTACATGAAGCGGAGAGGCTATTTATCTGCAAGCAGGACCGTTAAAAGCAGATTCGATACGTCGCATAACTCGAAACAAAGAGGCCATTCATCTGCAGGCTGGACCATCAACAGCAGCAGAGGGCGTGGCTCGGTCAAATGCAGGGCAGCCAACGAAAACGGGACTGATACAAACGGGGATGGTCTGGTGTCATCAGTGAGAGTGTCATCGCCACCACCAGCATCATCGATATCATCATTACAACCATCACAGCCATCATTACCGTCATCTCCTGATTGGTCAGAGTCGGATTTGGATGACGTGTCGCCAGCGTGTCCTGTTCCGGATTTCACGGGGCTGGGCGGGGAGATTCGTCTCCTTCGGCTTCAGGAGCTGTCCGGATACCCGACAGGTGCAGCTTCTGGGCGGCCGCTGTTGGTGTATCTGCCTGGAATGGACGGCACAGGGCAGTGCCTGCAACCCCAAGTCAGATCGCTCACTCGCGCTGGGTATGTGTGCGGTGCCATATTTGAGTCGACTCAAAAGTGCTGGGTAGATGGGCGTGCTGGGTAGATGGGCGTGCTGGGTAGATGGGCGTGCTGGGTAGATGGGCGTGCTGGGTAGATGGGCGTGCTGGGTAGATGGGTGTGTGTCAGGTTGTGATGGGAGTGTGGTAATGCTTGCACACCCGGCAAAGCTGGGTGCTTCATTCATCTTGCACGTTTTATTCATCTGCTAGCTGCTTAGGGCGCGTCCCCTCCCTCGATCGATCCTGCCCTCGATCGATCGAGGGACAGCTACAGTTCAACTGTAGCGTCGCAGTCGACAGGGTAACCAAGTTTCGAGATGGCTTGCGAGTGTACAGTAACTGGTGCCTAACGATCCTGTCACCTCCATTGATGACGACGATCGATGTGCCTTCGTGGCCACACCGATCTTGACTTCTATAGGACCGAGAGTTGTTTCCCCCTTGTAATCTCGAATCTCGATCCTCCTGTCACCCTGGGCTCGAAATCATCCCACGATTGCCACCTCTTACCAATCCGACCGTGCCCCAATCCTGCGATCGGTGTGCCCGATCGGTTTTTCACGGCGATCTCGCGATCGATCGAGGGAGGGGACGCGCCCTTATGCTGGCCCCTGTGGTGGCTGCTCTCTATTTTCGCCCCCCTTATACCCCTTCCCCCTCCCCCTCCCCCTTCACCCCCGCCTTCCCCCATCCAGTTTTGACATCCGCGCCCTCTACATCCCCACCACCGACCGCTCCACGTGGCGGCAGCTGGTTCGCCGAGTCACGCCGCTCATACAGCAGGCAGCCAATGAGGAGGACGCCAACGGGCGGGGGGGCAGTGGGGGCGGAGCGAGCAGGGAGGTGACGGTGCTGGCGGAGTCGTTTGGGGCGTGCCTGGCTCTGCGCATCGCTGCTGCCAATCCCGGCCTCCTGCACCGACTCGTGCTCGTGAGATTCCTGTCTGCTCTTTCCAGTTCCCAATAAGTCTTCATTCTTGCATCATGCATGCTGGGTTGGTCGCACACCCACCCACTACCATCCTTCTCATCTCCCTTCTTCCTCCCCCGTTTGCCCCCTTCCTTGTTTGCCCCCTTCCTTGTTTGCCCCCTTCCTTGTTTGCCCCCTTCCTTGTTTGCCCCCTTCCTTGTTTGCCCCCTTCCTTGTTTGCCCCCTTCCTTGTTTGCCCCCTTCCTTGTTTGCCCCCTTCCTTGTTTGCCCCCTTCCTTGTTTGCCCCCCTTCCTTGTTTGCCCCCTTCCTTGTTTGCCCCTTCCTTGTTTGCCCCCTTCCTTGTTTGCCCCCTTCCTTGTTTGCCCCCTTCCTTGTTTGCCCCCTTCCTTGTTTGCCCCCTTCCTTGTTTGCCCCCTTCCTTGTTTGCCCCCTTCCTTGTTTGCCCCCTTCCTTGTTTGCCCCCTTCCTTGTTTGCCCCCTTCCTTGTTTGCCCCCTTCCTTGTTTGCCCCCTTCCTTGTTTGCCCCCTTCCTTGTTTGCCCCTTCCTTGTTTGCCCCCTTCCTTGTTTGCCCCCTTCCTTGTTTGCCCCCTTCCTTGTTTGCCCCCTTCCTTGTTTGCCCCCTTCCTTGTTTGCCCCCTTCCTTGTTTGCCCCCTTCCTTGTTTGCCCCCTTCCTTGTTTGCCCCCTTCCTTGTTTGCCCCCTTCCTTGTTTGCCCCCTTCCTTGTTTGCCCCCTTCCTTGTTTGCCCCCTTCCTTGTTTGCCCCCTTCCTTGTTTGCCCCCTTCCTTGTTTGCCCCCTTCCTTGTTTGCCCCCTTCCTTGTTTGCCCCCTTCCTTGTTTGCCCCCTTCCTTGTTTGCCCCCTTCCTTGTTTGCCCCCTTCCTTGTTTGCCCCCTTCCTTGTTTGCCCCCTTCCTTGTTTGCCCCCTTCCTTGTTTGCCCCCTTCCTTGTTTGCCCCCTTCCTTGTTTGCCCCCTTCCTTGTTTGCCCCCTTTGTCAGATTACCATCTTCATTGTAACCTGCATCATCATATAAGCTTTGACTAGAGATAGGCACCCAAACTTAGTTTGGGTGCACAACTAGGGTTTACCCTAGTTTGAGGTTGGAACCCAACCTTGGCCCAATTATTGGGCCCCCAAGGTTGGGTTGGGAGATTATTGGCCCCCCCAATAATGTTGACCCACTTTTGGTCAACATTATTGGTCCCCCCAATAACTCCTCAACCCAACTTATTGGTGGGGGCCAATAATGTTGGCATGGCTCCTACATCCTAGCTCAACTATGTAAACCCATGCCCTTCCTAATGAAACTATCGGTTGTTCTTACACTTTCTCACATGGTATTCAGAGCAACTACGGCTCACACCATCTCGATCCTAAGGACCGCACATACCGCGTGCTATATCACGCCCCCCTCTCTCACGCGACACTACGTCGCCCTTTGCGCCTAGTGCGCCCCTACGCCGTCACGCCCCCCCCCTCCCCTTGCGCTAAATTTCAGCGCCCCCCTCCCTCCTTTCTACAGTCAATTCCGCCTCTCGCGGCTCTCCCCTCTCTCCCACTAACCCATCAACCGTCGGAACGGCCACGCCAACCGTCGGAACGATCCGCGCAACCGTCGGAACGATCTGCGCAACCGTCGGAACGACCAGCGCGACCGTCGGGACGGCCAGCACGAGCGACGGAACCCTAATCGCGGGCGGACGCCACACCCGCGACGAGCATCGGCGACCGCCGCGACCGACGAAACCCTAATCGCGGGCGGACGCCACACCCGCGACGAACGACGGCCGCGGACGCGACGAGAACGGGCGACCGCCGCGGACGCGACCAGCGGGGGCGGACGCCGCGGACGCGACCAGCGAGGGCGACCGCCGCGGACGCGACCAGCGGGGGCGGACGCCGCGGACGCGACCAGCGAGGGCGGACGCCGCGGACGCGACCAGCGCGGGCGGACGCCGCGGACGCGACCAGCGCGGGCGGACGTCACGGACGCGACCAGCGAGGGCGACGCTGCGGACACGACCAGCGCGTGCGGACGCCGCGGACGCGACCAGCGAGGGCGACCGCTGCGGACGCGTCCAGGAGCAGCCGCGTGTCGTCAAGGCACAGCTGCAGGCGACGAGGCGCAGCCGCGGGCGACGAGACGCAGCCGCGGGCGACAAGGGGCAGCCGCGGGTGACGAAGCGCTGCCGCACGCAACGTGACCGCGCCACCCCTCCAGGTGGTGTCGTCTTTGACCGCACCCGCCCTCCAGCCGGTGTCGTCACCCTCTCCCCCCCCCCCTCCTCCCCCCTCATGGCGGACGACTCTACTCCCATTGAACTCGGAGCTATCGATAAGCTCGAACTCCTCCATGACACTACGGCCGTGAACTGGGCGTCGTTTGAGGACACACTTCACACCCACCTTGGCTCTGTCATTGTTCAAGACTACTGTCTTCTTGATGTAGTTCTTGAGCACCCTAACGGCCTTCCACCCGTCCCCCCTCCTCCTCTTGAGCCTCCTCCTCCTGATGCCCCTCCTCCCCCAGAGCCTCTGTCTGATCCCCTTCGTGCCCCAGTTCATGATGACAACCCAGATCGATGGGCGGCCAACTTGAACAACTACAACAAGCTTCGCGATGCCTACACCATCCAGCGTGAGGCGCACCGTGCTGCTGAGAAGGCTCACGCTGATGCTACTGCGCGTATCCTCTCCTACGCACAGGATGAGAAAGACTATGCTGATGAACTTCGCAAGTTCAACAAGGATACTGCAGCATGGCGAATTGCGGATCGCCGCGCTCTAGCCATTATCTTCTCCTGCATCCCTTCCCATCTCAAACGTGACCTCCGCCCCACCTCCTCCTCTGGCCTCTGGAAAACCCTGTCCACTCAGTACGACCGACAGGACCTTCGCTCTCTCCTTGCTCTCTTTCGCAAATTTCAAGACACCACTCTTGACTCATCCCCCACTGCTGCTGCCTTCACTCGGCGCCTCATCGACACTGCGCAACGTCTCAACGACCGCGGCATTGTCATTCATGAATCACTTCTCACTGCACGCATCCTCGACTGCCTTCCACCCACATACGATACCTACCGCATCACCTTTACCTCTAGGTACCGCCATCCTCCTCCTGTGGCTGACACAATCGACTGGCTCCTTGACAGCGAAGCGGACATCCAACGTGACTCCACCACCATCAATGCTATCCAGGCTCGCAAAACTCCCGCAGGCAACCACAGCAGCGGCGGAGGTAGCGGCTCAAGCGGTACTGGCGGTGGCGGTGGTGGACGAGGTGGTGGGCGAGGCGGTGGACGCGGTGGTGGTCGTGGTGGCGGCCGTGGTGGGCGTGGCAAAAACCCCTCTCCCTCGGGTACCCTTCCCCCGTGTCAGTACATCATTCGCTATGGCTCCAACAAAGGTCAGCCTTGCGCTCAAACCACTCACACCACTGACACGTGCTTCAAAGCCCTCACTGATGAGTGGTTTGCACGTGGCAATGTCGGCACCCCACCTCGATGGAACACCATCTTCCCGCGCCCCTCTCTCCATGACATACGCACTCTCCCCGCCTATCAACCCTCCACCCCTAATCTTCACAATGTCCTCACTGAGCATCTCCCACCTCATATCCTCCAGCAAGTTCAACATCTTCTCCCTTCATCTCCTCCCACTCCCACCCCTCCCACCCCTCCCATTCCCCCTTCACCCACACCTCCTCCTCAAGCCCCTCCCTCCCACTATCCTCCGCCCTATACCGGCTGGCCATACCCTCCTTATCCACCTCCTCAATACGGCCCTGTGCTTCCTCCACCTGCTACCACTCCTACTGACCAGCCCTCCTCCTCCTCCAATCCTCCTGGCTTCACTCCGTTCCCTTCTGCTGGATTCATAGGACATGTTAGCACTGCTTCTCCTGCTCCTTCAATGTATGCCCATGCTATTAATGAGACATCCTTCCAGTATTCCGCTTCTTCCTCCTCCTCTACACTCCTTGAGTTCATTCTTGACAGCGGCGCTACACACACTGTCCTTCGGGACGCAGGCACACTAGTCCCCCTCCCCACTCCCTCCACCATTTACGGAGCCGACTTCAGCTTCACCATCACAAGTCGACACACCTCCACTCTCCCCTGCCCCATCTTCCCCTCAGGCACAGTCACAGGTCTACACGTCCCCTCCCTACGCAACAATCTGGTAGCACTTCGTGACCTCCCAAGGTTAGGTGTCACCGCCATCTTCCCCGGACATGCACTTCACTGCGACCTCTTTCACACCATCACTGGTCGCTTCATCTGTCGTATTCCCCTCTGCCCACACACAAACCTGTACACATACCGCACCCCTCGCCCCTCCATCCACCAACTCACCACTCCCACCTTACTTCCCCCTCACTCCCTTCCCCCCTCCCCTCTCCCCCCCCTCCTCCCCTCCCCTTCTTCCCCCCCCCTTCCCTCCCCTCCCTCCCCCCCTCCTCTTGCCTCCCCTCCCCCTCCCTCCTCCCCCTCCCCTCCCTCCTCCCCCTCCCCTCCCTCCTCCCCCTCCTGTCACTGTCGTGACCTTACCCATCCCGCCGTCCTCCTTCACCATCGCTTGGGTCATCCCAACTTTGCCACCCTTCGTCAATCTGTCTCCTCTCAACTTCTTGAAGGACTTCCCCTCACCCTCCCCCCTCTCCCCCCGTCGCCCTCCCCTCCCTGCTCAGTTTGCGTTGAAAGCAAACTAAAGCAAGCCCCCCACAAGAGTCATCCCTCCTTCTCTCCCCAACCCATTGATCTCGTCCACATGGACCTCTGGGGCCCCAATCCCACCCCCACCAGGCAAGGTCATCGCTACCTGCTCATACTGGTAGATGACCACAGTCGGTACTCCACTGTCTCTCTCCTTCGCAAGAAGGCGGAGGCCCCGGCTGCCATTATTGCCTGGGCTGAACAAGCACGCACCCATTTCAAACGCCCTGTCTCTCGCTTCCATTCCGATGGCGGCGGTGAGTTCCTTAACCGGATGCTTTCCTCCTACTGCTCCACCCATGGCATTATCCACACCTAC